GGAGCAGAGCTGATCCACAGACTCTCTAGGATTTGAGCCGATGCGCCCTGACTGCCAAGCACAGTCCTCTTTGTTGCCCTCTTCAGAAGCTCCGTTGCCCACTGGGCTGTTTTCCAGTGGTGAGGACTAGGGGAGGTCAGCTCTGGCAAACAGTCATGTCTGATGGCCAGGGCAACTTGTGAGCCGCTTCTGTGGTGTTTTTGATGTGGAAAGGCAGAATGGGGGTTTAGCCCCGGAGAAGCAGAAGAAGAGAAGTATTTGAGAAGCAAACAGGCTGCACCTGAGACTGTCTGAACAGGCCTCGAGGAAAGAGGACCCTGCTCGAGGGGCAGGGCAGATCCTTGGGGGGAGAGCCAGCAACTCTGTCACAGGCAAGTGTAAGCAGGGCTCTATAGAGGCAGAAAAACCATTTTATTTTCCCTGACCTCTTCTCGCTAATGCTGCTTCTTTCCTAGCTCTAAGTGAAGTCTGGTAGCATCCCCGTCACCCTTTTCAGCCATTTAAGCATCTAGTTGAGGATAGCAGTCAAAGCTACAGCTGCCCCTCTCCTTTGAGGCTGGGAGGCTACTGCAGAGCTGAGGTAGGGCTTTGCTCAATTCTTGCCTCTTTTGTGGTCTCTCTTTGTACTCGCTGAGGTTGCCATCTTCTCTGGGGGAGGCAGGGTCCAGAAGAAGAGGGATGGACGAACAGCCCCGTCACAGATGGAGTCCTAGCATGACCTGGCTTTACTGCTGAGGCTGTAGCAGTGCTCTGGGGAGCCTCCCTTCTCATGTGCCAGCGATGGAGGTTACCTGGACATTGTTCTGAACTGCAGTTCTAGCCCCGTCTACTCCATCTGCCAGCTGACAATTGCCAACACCTGTCTCCCACATTTCCTCAGCCTACCCAGTTCAGTTCCTGTACTTTCTCAGCCCACCAGCTCAGGCCTTGGGGGAAGCTCTCCCCAGGACGTTTCCTCTTCTCTGCACTCTTGTCTACCTTTTCTGTCATCGAGAGCAGGAGCTTCGGCCTCTTGCCCCGGGATTCCACCAGTTGTTCATACTCCAGCGACATCTCATGTTTTACAAGAGACCAGCATGTCTAACACTAGCCACAGAGTAGGCCTCAGACTCTTGCAAATCCGTGAGCAGGGGTCCTCCACACATACTGGGAAATAAGGAGGCAGCTATTGTACTGTTCTGTTGCAGGCAAATGAAGTGGGGAGGTTCACCTTGCCACTTATCACCCAGACATCAGAAAAAAACACTGTACCCCCAAAGGAGGTATGGTGGTGCCATGGTGGGTGGTCCAGAGACCCTGTCTGATTTCTTTCTAAGAGGAAAGTCTAAGAAAGTTGAGGCATGAGAAATTGTTTGGGGTGGGACCCAGAGATTCAGGAAGGCAAAGTACATTATACATCAGCTCCAAGGCCACTTCTGAATACCTGTAGATTGCACAGAGGGACACTCCCTCCAGAAGGCTCTAGGTCCAGAGAACTCTCGTTCCTAGGGCCCATTAAAGCCTGGAATCTGAATAACTCTCTGTTCCCGGGCAAGACAGATGAATGGCCCAGCTTTCAGGGGTATCTCCTTAGGCTTGCTGTCATTCCATTGAGAAAGGCGGTTGGTAGATGGCCTGGCCCCAGGTGGTGAGTTTACCAGCTCAGAGGAGGAAGCTTGACCCCAAGGCAGTATGAAACATCGCTGAGTCTTGACAACCACAGGTGGCCGCATCTAATTTGTCAGGTCCAAAAGTGTGTCGTTGTCGGCGTGTGCATTTGTGTGGAGGTTGGACGTTGACAGTGTCTTTGTCCACGGCTCGCCACTTAAGTTACTGAGACAAGGGCTTGTTGAATCCAGAGCTTGCCGATTTGGCTAGTCTAGTGAGCAGGCTTGACTCAGGGATCCCTGTCTGGGCCTCCAAACAGCTGAGATCCCAGGTGTGCTTCTATACCTACCTGGCCTTTATGTGGGTGGTCGGGGTCTGAACTCCAGACCTCATGCCTGACTCAGCAGTGCTTACTAAGTCTTTCGTCTTGGCTTTGCCGGGTCATCTCTCCTGTGTTCCAGAACCAGTTAGAAGTAGGTGATTCTCCACCCTAAATAGTCCAGTGTATGTTCTTAAACCGAAGAGTTCTTTTGCCCCACCTGGTATACTTACAGAGTCAGGAGAGCAGTATTACTAAGACACTAGCTAATCCACAGGCTTTATTCACTTTTCTATTAACTCAACAATCATCTTTACAGAAAAAGAAAGTCCTGCTTCTGAATGACATCCACTGGTTGTCTTTGTTTTCTTCTAACCTGGGGCAGTTCCTCAATTTTTTCTTGTCTTTCTCAAGCACGATATTTTTTTAACTGAAAAAAAAATAGTTTACGCACAATATATTCTGATTACACTTTCCCCAATCCCTTCAAGATCCCCCCCCCACCCTGACCCACCCAACTCCATGCCCTTTCTCTCTCTAAAAAAACAAAAATAGCCAGGCATTGGTGGCGCATGCCTTTAATCCCAGCACTCGGGAGGCAGAGGTAGGCGGATCTCTGTGAGTTCGAGGCCAGCCTGGTCTCCAAAGCGAGTCCTAGGAAAGGCGCAAAGCTACACAGAGAAACCCTGTCTCGAAAAACCAAAATAAATAAATAAACAAACAAAACCACAAGAAACACACACACACACACACACACACACACACACACACACACACACACACACAAAGACCAAAAACAAAAACCCACAAGAACAAAAATGGGAACCAAAATATACAAACAAAAGACCATTAAGACAAAAAAAATGTCCAAGTCACATGATGCCTACACTGGAGTGTGGTTTCTATACCCAATGACTAACTAACTTTTCCTTTGCAAGCAGGTATCAATTGCTGACAACTTGCCCATGTCCACTTCCATTTCTCAGTTCTGGGATCTCATCTGGCTTGAACCTGTGCATACCCAGTGCATGCTGCCACAGACACTGTGCATTCATGTGTGCATCAGTCCTGTTGTGTCTTACAGTCTTTCTGCCTCTTCTTCTGAGTAGGTCCTGAGCCCTGGGGTGGGGATGGGGTTGATGAAGATACCCCATTTTGGACCGAGGGTTCTAAAGTTTCTCATTCACTGTATACTGTCTGGTTAGGAGTCTCTGTGTCAGCTCCCCTCTCCTGCAAGAAGCCTTTCTGAGTGAGACAGTGATCTATGGATATAGCAGAGTATTGTTAGAAGTCATTTTATTGCTGTATTCCTTTAGCAAAGTGATAGCATTTGGTTTTCTCCTAGGCCCATGGCCTATCCAGTCTCAGGTTCTTGGCCACCCAAGCAGTGTCCGGCATGGATTCCATCTTGTGGAGTAGGCCGTACATGTCATCAGAGAGTGGTTGGTTACTCCCACAACATTTGAGCCACCATTGCACCAGCATATCTCCCAGGCAGATCACCATTGTAGGTCACAGGGTTTGTAGCTGGGTTGATGACTACCCTTCAATGGTAGCATGCAGAGTACCTTCCAGTACCATGAATACTAGATGGTGGGGGTGAAGCAGCAAGTTTGACAAGGCTTGATATTCTTAGTGAATTTATGCCAGTTGTTTTGTAAAATGTCCCTGAATTTCTGTCACACGTTTTTGGCCTGAGAGAAGCCTTGCTCTCAGCTAGGAAGCATATGCATAACTCAGTTTCCCATAGAGTATTATAGCCATACAAAGCTTTGATTCTTGGGAACATGAGGAAGAAGGCAGGACTGGAGAAGGCTACATTGAAGGTGGAGCTGGTATGATGTCTGAGAGAGACTTCAGGCAGTAAGGCCACCAAACCCTGGGCGACTCTTCCTGCACAGACCACAGTGTCTGTGCCCACTGGCCATGTAAACTGGGTATTGTTCATGACTGGTAAGTTTTGCAATTTGGTTCTTTGACTCTCCAAGGGATTCTTGGTTACCTAACCCATTTAAAGCAGTCATTTCTTAGTAAGCAGGGGTTTCAGTTGTTTCAAGTAAAGTGAGATACATCCCTGCACTGTCTGTGCTGATGTGCAAAGCGGTCTGCAATCCCTACATGAGCACTCCTGTATGTACACCACTTCCTCTGGACAACTTGCCAAGTCCCACCCTTCATGGGCACAGTTAGGAGATCTTAGGCTGTAACTAACAGAAAAATGTTCAGAAATGTCTGAAACAATTATACTACATTGGTTTTCATAGAGAAGAAATGTTTACTGTTACAAAAATTAGAAAAAGAACTACCATACAATTCTACATTTCTGGGTAAAAGAATTGAAAGCAGGGTCTTGAGGAGACATTTGTTCATTAATCTCCACAGCAGCATCATTCACAGTAGCCAAAAAGTGGAAGCAACTAAGCACCCACTAAAAGATGAATGGAAAAACAAGGTGTAGTGTAGACATACTACAGAACATTACTCAACTGTAAAAAAGAAGGAAGTTTTGACACATGCTATAATATGGACGAACTTCAAGGACATTGTGGTAAGTGAAACAAGCTAGTTACAAAACACGTAAGTTTCTACTTATATGTGGTACCTAAGGGGTTCAAGTTCACACAGACAGAAGTAGGAGGGGATTTTCAGGGACTAGGTGAAGGGAGTAATAGGGAGTCACCGTCTGATGGGTAGAGTTTGAGTTTTTTACATGGAAAGAACTCTTAGAGTGGATGGGGGTAAAAGTTGCCCGACAGTGTGAATGTACTTACCAATACTAAGATGATGATCTTGAAAACAATTTTATTTAATTTTATTTTACATGTGTGAATGTTTTGCCTGCATGCATATACGTGTATACAGTACGTGCAAGGCCGGAGGAGGATGTTAGATCCCCTGGAATTGGAGTTACAGGTGGTTGTGAGCCACCATATGGTTGCTGAGAACCAAACCTGGGTCCTCTGAAAGAGCAGCATGAGCCATCTCTCCAGCCCTGAGATAACACATCTTATGGTATATTTAAAGAAATCATTGTGGTTGGGGGTCCTCCAGGGGAGTTAGCATCTTTGTGATCATCTTGCCTTTTGTTTCATAGTCACAAGATGGCTATGGTAGCTGAAAACACCTACCTCTGATCATGGAGTACATGGACCAGGACTTTCTCCTGAAGACTCACAATCGTTCTGGATGTATGAACTGTCTTAGTCTAATCATCGTTAATGGGCCTGAAGACAGGTCCTTCATCATCAGGGGACCTGCATTGCCTCTTCCCAGGCAGTCTGGACCAAATCAATGTTTTACTGTGAGAGCGGGCATCAGTATCCATGAAGTCAGAGAGCCCTGTCCACCACAGCATGTCTTCCACCCGTATTGCCTGTGCTCAACTGAAAATATTTTGGTACATTTACTGCCCACAAACCCACCTCTTCTTCCTTTGGGCTAGCATAATACCGTGTGCACACAGACACTGCCCACAGTGCTCATAGCAAACTCCTAAGTCCTCTCTGTTCAGCTGTGTGTGCTGCTCTCAAAAACTGGACAGTACTGTGCCTTTGACTCAGAAGTATGTGGAAAACAAAACAGACACAGGAGGCACCGACTTGATGTTTAAGAATGAGTGGATGGACAAAGACACGAGATAGGCTGCTCAGAGAAGCTGCCAACGAATGTGCCAGACTCGGAACTTGAAGCTGGTAAGGGAGGGCAGAGCTCATCACGGAGCCAGAGGGGCCAAGCAAGAGCTTTGCAGAAAGTGTAGGGGCAGAGGGAAGGCAAAGTGGCAGAAGTCAGGTGAGGAAGAAGAAAGGGAAAGAGGCAAGCTCTGTGGTTTGTAGTCCTCACCCTGGGCTGGGCTGTGTGTCACAAGCAACTCAGATTTGGCAGAGAGGGCAGAGGAAGACAGAAGCTCACTGGCCACACACTGTTGTTAGCAGTGGCTGAGAGCTAAACATCTTCCATTTTTGTGGGTTGTTGCAAAAAGTAGGGAAAGTAAATACAAAGTTGTAAGCTACTTTCAGACTTATGAAGAAAGTAGCCTTATCAATCCAAAGTTTTCCATCTTGCCATTCCTGCCCAAATAATTCAATCTCTCCTCAGTTATTGACTCCCAGGAGGGCCATGGGGTTGCCATTGGCATCTTGGGGTCGGGTTGTATGGCAGGAGGGGGATGGAGTGGTTATGTTCTTCCTTCCCTGCTCTGGCTTCTTGTGTCACATAATGGGACTCTGTCCGCTATGAGAAGGTCAAGACCCAAGCCAAGAGCACCATGTTTCAGAACCCATGGGGCATCCAGGTGTCAGCAAAGCTGGCAAGAATGGCCACTCTTCAGTTTCTAGGCCCAAAGTAGCACCTTGCAGGCTCTAAGACTTGTAAAGCAGCTCTCAGCGCTGAGTTTCCCCCTCTCACCATCAGGACTACACGAGTCTAAGATGCGAGGCTACAGGTGTGACGTCTGTGTCATGGTCAAAGCAACCAATATTTTCCAACTTCTCCCTTATGTGTTCCAGTCTCCTTGGCAGCTGCAGCTGGTTATATGACTCAGTGAGACTTAAGAGAGAGTCCACTTTGATCTTCCAAAAGGCTTTGTTTGCTCACTAGGAAGGATACATAGACTGTCACCATTTCTCCTAAGGCCCGGCCATCTTCCTTTGTTGAATGAGGACAAACGCCTGGGAATTCCACAGCTATCCTGTGATCATGACAGGATCCTGTGATCATGAGAGTCCTGACTCTGAAATCTATACCAGCTCTGAACTCATTCCTCCAGTCTTTGTGGGGAGAGAGAGACAGACAGACAGACAGACTGCCTCTCAGCCTGAGGCATGCCCCTCTTGGTTTCACCTTTAACTTTGGCACATTATGTGCTGATGCTATGACCCCATTTCATAGGGGTCAAGTTGTTCATTCACAAATCACCTGATGGACAATGGTCTGGAGTCACCAAGGGTGGCCCTGCCTGCTGTTTGTTGCTACTGAAGGAGAAAGGTAGGTCTCCACCGAGGGTAGTAGAGGCAATAATGTAGCTGCTTTTGATGGCATTGGTGCCGGACCAAGTCTGCTGGCAATTGCCCTCTGGCCACGTGCTCTGCCTCTGGGCCTGTGACTTGGTATGTTCCTATCGAGAAATGTAGGGGCTTGGAGAAAGCCAGCCCGATATCTTGGCCCTCATAGATGAGATGTTGGTATTTATTTCCTAAACATAGGACATCATTTCAGAGAAAAGACAAGGGTATATAGGCAGAAAAGAAATAGGGTTTGGATAAATTGGTAGCCTATTGAAATAATTGAACCAGTGACCACCAAGAATGTGAGCATTCTAGTTTGTTTTGTTTTTAAAGCTATATAGTGTAGATTCCTAGGACTGAAGCCTAAGACTGTCAGAGTAGAGAGGGCTGATGAGAACCCAGCCAGGGAGATTCGAATAGAAATGTGAAATTAAATATGCCACCATTTCCTAACCCCTTACCCCAGTAATCCTTCTTAATGAATATATTACCTAAAGGTGTGTGGGAGGGACCGGGCAAAGAGTTGGATTCTGGGAATTCTCTTTAGAGAGCAAAGGATGTGGAGAAGCCATAATTGTCCATTGTGATCATGTCTTAGTCACGACAGCTGTTCCATCTGTGTGCTTGTTTTATACTGGTAACAGCCAGGAAGATGGCTCAGCAGTGTTCTGATCCCCGGAGCCCACAAAAATGCTGGGCAGCCTTGGCAGCCTGCCTATAATTCCAGCTCTGGGAAGGTGGAAGGCTGAAGTAGGGTATCCCTGAAGCAAGCTAGACTAGTGGAGTAGTGTGGAGAGCAGTAAAGGAAGATTCCTGAGGTAAGCCTCAGGCCTCTACATGTACACACACACACACACACACACACACACACACACACACACACATGCCCCCACACATGCGAACACATACAACACATGTATAGAAATTCAAAAAGATTTTCTAGAATTTTCTTTTTTTCAAATCTATTTTTCCCCTACAGGGTCTGGAATTAAACAGGAATTCTTTCACATTAATGGTTGTTATGAACCCAGTTTCTATCTAGATTACCGGATAAGGACTGATATGAGGTACTAATGAGATGGCCCAGAAGGTAAAGACACCTGACACCAAGAATGACAGTTTGAGTTTCATTTCCAGGACCCACCTGGTAGACGGAGAGAAACCACTCCCCAAAGTACTCGTCGTCATCTGTCCTCCACAAGTACCACGTACCTGTGACCGTGTGCTGCCCCTCTCCATCTCCTGTGCGCGCTCTCTCTCTCTCACATACACACACCAAATAATAAATACGATAAACATTTTTAAAAAGAGTATCACAAATGTGAAAGGATGTTTCAAACAAGAAAAGGTGTCTTTATTTTTGTTACTAGAAAGGGATGTAAGGAAACGAGCATTTCTTGGTCATGTTTCTTTCTACCTGGGACACTTGGCTGTGGAGAGCTGTCCTGTATAGTGCAAGATGCTTGGCGGTGCCTTCAGCCTCTATCCATATGCCGCTAGCATATCTCAGTTGTGACAACTGAAAATGTCTTCAGGAGCTGGAGATGTAGATCAGTTGTCACAGTGCTTGCCTGGCACACACAAGACCCTGGGTTCAATGCCCAGAGCTGCATAAATCCAGAAGTGGCAAATTCCCATAATCTCAGCCCCAGAGGCAGAACAAAACTAAGTTCAAGGTCATTGTCAACTAAATAATGACTTTGAAGCCCACCTGGGATACATCAGAGCATGTCTCAAATGTCCTCTAGGAGATGAACCCCCCCCCCCCAATTGAGAGTCTTGGATCTTATTAGTCATCTCTTACATAGCATCAGGGCACTGTGGTTGTCAACCTGTCAAGGCTGAGATCTCTGCACATTGGCGACTAAATGGGGTTCAAAGAAACAGTCTTGATGGTAACTCCCTTAAATCCCAAGGAATGGCAAAGGCACAAGAACGGAGTCCACGGCATCTCCTACCCAAATCTGCCTTGTGTCTTCTCTAAAGTGCAACAGCAACCGGCCCCTTGCTGCCTTTCCCCAGAGTACATGCGCTGGCATCTATGTGCCCATCTTCCTCTCCGACACCTTTGGACACATTTCATGGCCTCTGTCCTCTAGAGGCTCTTTCAAGACAAACTTGTTCTTTCTTTGTTTCTCCTTAGAATGCACTCCTGTGGCTTATCCATTTCCAGCCTCCTTCCCATCAGCTTTGTTTTGCACCCAAAAGCCCAAAGAGCTGGTCTGGACCCTCTGAGCTCTTCTACACAGTTGCATGTGGGTGGATGGGAGGGACTGAGCAGCCCAAGAAGCACCCAATTTAGCAGCGGAGGAGGATGGAAAGGGCTGGCAGTGCTCATGTGTGAGGAAGGTTGCAGATTTTTGTCACCCCACTCACAGATGTGCAGAGACGACGTACTATCTTTGTTTCTCTAAAATTATTTTCTCTGTTCTGAATCTCCAGCCGCAGAATAGAGGGGGGCATTTGAATGAAAGAACTTAGACACGTCAAGTGAATGGTCCATCCTGCCAGGTAAAGAACATAAAACATTCTTAGTTTTTGGATATCCGATCTGGGTTGGAGGTTATGGTTAACAGATTCTTTGGGGACAGAGAGAGGATGGGCTTCCCGAGTCCACTCCTAGCTCCTCCATCTTCGCTGAATTTTGCTAGGTGGGTGGTCTGGATAGTCCGGTGTTTCACCTGTGAGGACGAGACTGACTGGCTCTGTTCCTAGGCTGTTTGTCGGCACCTGCTGCTGAGCCGGTGTCTAGTGCCTGTGGTCTGGTCCTTCCTGGCTTGGAAGGACCTGCGTGTGTTCCCTGATGACTCAGTGCTGCTCTGGCTGGGACTCTGACCCCACATCCTCCATCTGGCTCTTCCCCAGAGTGTCCACCCCCACCTTGCTAGTGACTCACCTTTCTCTCGTGATGCTTGGCACACAGAGGCCTGTTGGCTCTCAGCTCAGTCAGCTCAGCTACTTCTCGTCTGTGATCCTGGGGGGCAGTCCAGGACATTACACTCAACCCTTCTCCCTAAATAACCTTGTAGTCGCTCTTAGGGACCAGGTAACATGGCAGGTAGGCCCTCCCAGAGCCCAAAAGATGGGGTCTTCAGGAGCCCTCCACCTTCTCCCCACCAAGCTGATTGAGGCAGGGTCAGGAGAAGGGAGACAATACTCTCGTTAGCCTGTGACCTCCCTCATCTTTCCCGGTTTTTTCCAAGGAGTGTACTAGGATTAGCAGGGTAGGTTTTGCTCTGTCTGCCCGCTCCAGAACTCCTGACATAAAACTCCGAGGTTAGCTGATTCTGTTGCCAACAAACAAGGAAAAGGAATCTGTGACTGTGTAGCATACTTTCTCTCTTACGAAGTTCAGCTGTTTAAACTACTATTTGGCTAAAATGTCTGAAAATTCTATTTAGTAGCTGATTTTAACTTTCCCTTCTCCTGTTTCCTCTTTTTTTTTTTTTTTTTTTTGCATTTCTTGGCATAACAACTCTAAGCCTCACTAAGGCAACTGGAAAACCTCTAGAAGTGTAAGGGAGGGTGGTATATGGTAAAGAGAAAGGAGGTCACATGTTCTGATATTTCAGAACTGTTTTGCCACCATGCACACCTTTATAGTTTACCTGCCACACATCATGTTTTGATGGAGACGTTCCATTGAGGCCTTCGGGCTGAAACCACAGCCCTGTGAGTAGACCACATCTGTCCAGGCAAAGGCTGGAAGAAGTACAGATTCCCACACAGGAAACTGGAACACTCAGACTAACTGCTGACAGACAGGAAAAGGGCTGCTTTGCCACCCGCAAGTCTGGAACCTCAAGACGAGCAATCTCCCAGTGTGGGAAATTTCCTCACAAACCCAGTGAGGCCAGGCTCTTTGAAGAGATTGGTGAAACAAAGTCTTTCATATGGAAGGAATAACAGAGAGATAACACTCTTCCATTTTGCAGGTAAGTTTGTTTAAAAAGAATCACTATTTGTGCTTTTATAGCCTCAGTGTTTCTGCCATTTTTAAAAAGACCTTTTTGGGGCCAGAGAGATGGCTCAAAGGTTAAGAGCGCTGGCTGCTCTTTCAAGGACCCAGGTTCAATTCCCAGCACCCACATGGCAGCTTATAGCTGTCTGTAACTCCAGTTCCAGGGGATCTGGCACCCGCACACAGATGTATATGCAGGCAAACATCAATGCACATGAAATAGAATTTGAAAAGGACCTTACAGGTTGTGGAGATGGTTTGGCAGTTACAGCTCTTAATGTGCAAGCAAGAGTTTGAGTCGTCAGCACCCACGTAAATGCCAGGAAGGTGAGGGGGGCACCTGTAAGTCTAGCCTGGAAAGGTGAAGACAGGATCCCTGGAGCAAGGCCAGACTAGCCTTATCATCCAGCTCTGGGTTTGACTGAGAGACCCTACCTCAAAGAATAAGGTGGAAGAATGAGGAAGATTCCTGTTATCAACCTTGGGCCGACACACACACACACACACACACACACACACACAAGTATTTGATATGTATATATACATGCATACTACGTGCACATGAAAAGAAGAAAAAGAATAATTTTTTTAAGGACTTTTAACATCTTTTTAAAAAGGTGACCATTAGAGAGGAGATTGCTAACAGACAAGTGCAAAATCCACTTCGGACAGCTGGAACGCATGGAGCAAAGGCCAGGAAGGGGATGGCCGATGTCTCCAGTGGTGGCAGGTGTCCGTCTCTGTCCACAGGGCTTGTGAGAGACAGGACTGGAAGGCAGTTGGAGCAGGCTCTGGAGATCTGAGTGACAGGGTAAGAGAGCAGCAGGTCAGCTTTGAGACAGTCTAAGTTTCTGGCTATTTCATAAGAAAGGACTCAGGAAGAGGAAAAGCATGTTCCAGAGCTTTGAAAATGCAGGCTACCATGCAGCTTCTGGTGGATTCCTGCATTGTGAGGAGGAAAGGCTAGAGAGGAAGGAAAGCATTTGAGAGAAAGCTGAAATCCATCCTAGACTTAGATGAAGTATAATGCTGTGTCTACTAGCAACCGTGAGGAGACGGGTGATTTTTCAGAGGGTCACAGACATGTCCTAATAAACAGGCCTTTATTTATTTGTTTGTTTGTTTGTTTGTTTATTTTGGTTTTTCGAGACAGTTTCTCTGTGTAGTTTTGATGCCTGTCCTGGATCTCACTCTGTAGACCAGGCTGGCCTCAAACTCACGGAGATCCGCCTGGCTTTTAAACCTTTTCGACAGTTTCTCACTCACCTGCACAGAACTTGGGCTGTCTTTGCACAGCTCTTCTGCCTTGATTTACCTTGTCTTGATAGCTGTACTGTACCTTGGCTTGTACTTTCCATTTAAATCACTCACCACAAATTGTGATTACTCTGTTAGCATGAGCTTTCAGTAGCTCATGTTTCCCCCACTGAAACAACGTGTGTAAGAGCAGGGCCATCATTTTCCTCACTGTTGTCACAGTGCCACACCTGGGTCTGACACATTAGTCCTCAATAGACTTGACAGAGCAATGAGGGAATGAATGAGTGTGCTTCTCGGAGGAGGGATTGACATGCCCCTCATCGAGTATGCTTTATTAAGTGCCTTCTTGTGAGAGGTGCTGTGGGGTGGTTTTGGTTTTTGTTTTTTAAGTACATAGAGTGAGTTTACAAGTCGATGTCTCATCCTGGCCTGAAAGTGACGGGCTCCTGGTAGCCATGTAGCAGTCCTTCCCCTGAGGCCTGATGCTAGCACAGTGCCACCTGTTGGACTGAACAGAAAACCCAGCTTTTACAAAGAAACATAATCGCACTGGAAAATTTCATCTAGAATCTTCTTTGGCTTTTAAAATTTTTTCATACCTGGGGCTTTGCTTTCTCTGCTTAACTTACTGTTTTCCTTGAAATACTAGCTTCGCTTAACCTCATGGTCCGCTTTTCAGATACATCATATTCAATTGTGAAACACCTCCTCTCATACAAAAGCAGTTAGGGAGTGAAGTATTACTAAGATTACCTTGTGCGCCACACATGGACCACTTGATATTTGTGGTAGAAGCACATGCTACAGCAAAAGTATTGCTCTAAGTCTGCTGAGCTGCCACCCCAGAGGCATGCAGTTACTACTGTGAACATTTGTTATACTTCAAAACTGTGAAACAGTAGTTGATAGAACCGTGACTAAAGACATTAGTGACTGTACTTTACAGCCGGCCCAACTCTAAAATTATGAGAGAAAACATACTTATACCTCAGCCATCTTGTCTACCTTAGGAGAAATGCTTATTGACTCAAGTGATGTTATTGCTGTCTCATGCTGTGACTTTTACCATGTGACATTAAAAATGGAGTTGTTGGTTTGTTTGTCTTTATTTCTGGACTGATTGTCAGACTTTTAAAAAGTCTTGTGGTTTTGGATTTGTTTTCTTTTTCTTTTCTTTTTCTGGTTACTGGTTCCCTAATCAGATCTTCTTGGTAGCAGGATCTTCTTATGGCCCTGATTTTGATGATCTTGCTTAGTGATTCCAAGGAAAAGTTGTATATGATTCTAGGATTTGAACCTGGAACTTATGCACATGCTGCCTTAGAAAGCTGGCCCCCATCACCTTGTTTGTGGTATTTTAAAAACAAAAGTAGCCAACTTTTATATATCTGTAATCAACCCTTTCCTTTGTGATAATTTCTTTCCTGACTGTCCTGGAACTTGCTCTGTAGACCAGGCTGGTCTTGAACTCAGAGATCTGCCTGCTTCTGCCTCCCAAGTGCTGGGATTAAAAGCATGGCATGTGCCACCATACCCAGCTGGTCCTTTGTGATTTCTATCTTCTTTCTTGTCTAGATATCAGGTACATATGTGCTTGGTTTTATAATTTAACTTTTCCAAGTGATTTAATTCATTTGAAATTTACTCTTGTATATTACTGAAGCAAGCATCATATATTTCCTCCAAGTATAACCCCAGCACCTTTTGTTTAATGGACTATTTGCTTTTCCATGGCCTTCTAGATATTTTCAGCTGTCAACATGACTCAGCCCAGAGTTATCTGAGGGAGTCTCAATTGGGGGATTGCCTGAATCAGATTGGCCTGTAGGCCAGCCTGTGGGAATATCTTCTTGACTACTAATTATGTAGGAGGGCACAGTCTACTGTGTGCGGTACTATCCTTAGGCAGGGAGGCCTGGGCTGTATAAGAAAGCTAGTTAAGCAGAAGCTAGAAAGCAAGCCAGTAAACGCTTTGCTCTGTGGTACTTGCCTCTACTCTTACAGTTCCTGCCCCGGCTTCCCTCAGTGGCGGACTGTAATAACAAACCCTTTCTTCCCATTTTGGTCATGGTATTTAATACAATGACAGAAATCAAACTAGAACACATGGGTTGTGTTCTTTCTTTTATTATAAACTAGTCTGGGGCGGTGGTGGTGCACGCCTTTAATCCCAGCACTCGGGAGGCAGAGCCAGGCAGATCTCTGTGAGTTCGAGGCCAGCCTGGGCTGCTGAGTTAGTTCCAGGAAAGGTGCAAAGCTACACAGAGAGACCCTGTCTCGAAAAAAACAACAACAAAAAAAAAAAACAAAAAAACAACTAGTCTGATGCATGAACACAAATTTATGGCTTTTGCTTTGTTCCCTGAAGCACCCTACTAATTATTGTTCTGATACCATACAGTTTTGACCATGATAACTATTCCATATTGTTTGTTTGTTTTAGGTTTTTCTGAGACAGGATTTCTCTACATAGCTCTGGCTGTCCTGGAACTTACTACATAGACCAGGCTGGCCTCAGACTGACTCTGCCTCACCACATGCACCACCATACCTGGCTTATCCAGTACTTTTTAATATACAAGTCTTCCTCATTACTATTTCCTTTAGAATTTTTCATACCTTTTCTTTCTTGCACTTTCTTCCACATGAACCATTAGGATAACTGCCATTTCCTAAAGCAGAACTATTGGGATTTCGATTCACTGCCTATACAACTTCTATTCAGCAAGTTTTTTCTTTCTTTCTTACTTAAGCACTGATACAAAGAGCTATGCAGTGTTGACATAAATAACGGCCACTACACTTATAAACATATCATTCCTTTTATTGACAAGCACTTTTTTTTTTTTTTTTTTTTTTTTTTTGGTTTTTCGAGACAGGGTTTCTCTGTGTAGCTTTGCGCCTTTCCTGGATCTCGCGCTGTAGACCAAGCTGGCCTCGAACTCACAGAGATCCACCTGCCTCTGCCTCCCGAGTGCTGGGATTAAAGGCTTGCGCCACCACCGCCCGGCGACAAGCACTTTTTATTGAAAGGCTCAATGTGAGTCATTCATGCCCATCAAGTATTTTCTAAATGCTTGAACAAAAGACAATTAAAGTTGGTTCAAATAGGGGAAATCTCTTCAAAATACACCAGGAAAGAATCAGATTGAGTGGGCAAAGTTAGAATTCAAAGACTCTTTAATTCAAGTCAGAAAATTAGCTACTACATAAAATGCAAGGGCAGAAAGTGTGACTAGCAACATATGGGTGAACAAAAAGCCCATATTCTGCAATGGATTGTAGTATCTTGACCATCATCAGAAATGTGTATCCTAAGTCCATGTTCCATGGGCTGAGAAAGTGGCTCCAGCTTGGAAAATAACTGCCTTTATAGCTCTGAGAAAATCAAGAGAAAATGTTGGGCATTATGAGGTGTGGCAGCACACTCCTAGCACTCAGGAGTCAAAGGCAGGTGGATCTGCAGGAGCCTCTTCATTACCAATTGTACGGAAGTATCGAGCCCACAGTAGTCTTGGTTCCAGGACAGTCAGAACTACACAATGAAAACCTGTCTCCAAAACAAACAAACAAACAAATGAATAAATAAAATAAACAAATGAATACATAAATAAATGGAAAAAGAAAAAAGAAGGATACAGTAAAAATAAATCAACCCTTATTATTAAAAAATGGAGTTAAACATAAATTCTATAATTATCACAATAGTATGTGAATGTTATTTATGTTGTTGGAGAAATTTAGTAATTTTAATGAAAAGCTGTTGTGGAATATTCCTTTACATTGTGTGAAGATGTGTCACTGTGATTGGTTTAATAAAGAGCTGGATGGTCAATAGTTAGGAGGAGGTATAGGCAGGACTTACAGGGACAGAGAGCTCTGGAAAGAAGAAAGGAAGAGTCACCAGCCAGATGGAGAGGAAGTAGCATGGGCAGTACAGAGTAAAGGTAACCAAGCCACATAAAAGAATATAGATTAAAAGATATGGATTAATTTAAGTTATAAGAGCTAGCTAGAAACAAGCCTAAGTTATTGGCCACACTTTTATAGTTAATAATAAGTCTTTGTGTCATAATTGGGAGTCAATAGTCCGGACAAAAAAGTCTGACTACAAGAAGCTATGCTGTCAATTTTAATTTCTTATGTTTACTATTTTGGTTTTTTGTTTATTTTTTGGAGATAGAATTTTTCTGTATAGCCATGTCTGTCTGTCCTGGAACTCTCTCTGTAGACTCAGCTGGCATTGAACTCACAGAGATTTGCCTGCCTCTGTCTTTTGAGTGCTGGGATTAAAGGCATGCACCACCACTGCCTAGTTTATATTTACTTTTTTATTGTGTGTGTGCAGATTTGTGCATACATGCATGCCATGGTGCACATGTGGAGGTCAGAGGTTGGCTTTCAGGAATGGGTTCTCTCCTTCTACCATGTGGAAACCAGGCAGGTTGCCTCAGTCTTTGTAAGATGGGTAGAACTTCAAGTGAGGATGCATAGGACAGGGATTACTGTCCATTCCTTTAGTTTTGCTGAATGATTCTAAGTACGTTAGTTTTTGGTGTGTGTGTGGTATCCATGTGTGGAGGCCTGACACTGATGTGACTGTTTCCATCCATTACTCTATCACTTATGTATTGAAGCAGCCTCCTTTGTCTGGGCTCGGAACTCATGGATTCATCTCATCTAGCTCGTCTTGCTCTTGGGCTCCTGGTTCCAGATATTTCCAGGTGGGTATCCTTGTGGATTCTGGGAGTCTGAACTCTGGTCTTTAGGATTTTGCAGCAAGTACATCCTCTGCTGAGTTATCTCCCCAGCTCCATGATTCACTATTTAAAGTGTATAATGCAATTTTATATTATTTATTCAGAATAAGACATGCAGCATGAATCTTAAATGGTCTTATTAATAAAAACAAACCCAGGGCCTGGTATTGGGGTGAATACTGGAAGATCAGATAAGCAGAATAAACTACAGCTTCCTCACCTCACCAATTCCTCAGCTGATCCTGTTTCCTCAGACTGGATGCCTCTCAGCTGAACTGTGCTGCTAGAAGCCTAAAAGCTTAATCAGGCTCTAGTTCCTGGTCCTCACACCTTAAATACCTTTCTGCCATCACTTCCTGGGATTAAAGGCTCACTTCCTGGAATTCCTTGAACTCACAGAGATCCAGACAGATTTCTGCCTCTGGAATGCTAGGATTAAAGGCGTGAGTGCCACCATTTTCTAGCCTCTGTATCTAATGGCTGTTCTGTTCTCTCACCAGATAAGTTTATTAGGGTGCACAATATTTTGGGGAACACAATACCACCACAAAGACATCTCCAAAATTTTGTATTTTTCTCACCTCCAGAAGAAATCCCCTGATCAGCAGAAATCACTTTCCACTTCTTTCTATTTCCCTTTCTCCGTCCCTGTACAACTTCAGACCTAAGAATTGCCAATTGACTCTAACTATACATTGGATTGTTGTTATTGCCCAGTGCTATGCCCTCATATGCATAAAGCACATTTAGTTTGCCTTTCTGTCGGTTGGTGAACATTCAGGTCATTCACATTCCTTGGCTGTTATGAATAATGCTGCTATCAATACCCGATTGCAAGTGTAGACACAGACACATTTCCAGACATAGACCCGGAGTAGAATTGCTGGGTCATGTGATAGCTTTATGTTTCATCTTCTGAGGAACTGCTAGGCTGTTTTCAGGGCAGATATATCATTTTATATTCCTACCAGCAATACACACAGATTTAAACTTCCCTGGATTCTAACAAAACACAATACTCTTTTTTTTTTTTTTTTTTTTTTTGGTTTTTCGAGACAGGGTTTCTCTGTGTAGCTTTGCGCCTTTCCTGGAACTCACTTGGTAGTCCAGGCTGGCCTCGAACTCACAGAGATCCGCCTGGCTCTGCCTCCCGAGTGCTGGGATTAAAGGCGTGCGCCACCACCGCCCGGCCACAATACTCTTAATATTATGAGGTGGTATCTTATCACAGTTTTGATTTTGTATGTTAAGGAAATGGTGATAGTAATATTGAACATCGTGTGTTCACTATCTATGTGTAGACCTTTTTAGGGGAAAAAAGTCTAATTTAGGTGCTGGGGAGATGGCTTCGTCAGTAAATTGCCTATCACACAAGCATGAGGCTCTGAGTCTGGATGCCTAGCATGCACGTAGAAAATCTGGGACTGATGGCATGTGCCTGCACCCTAGAGCCTGAGAAACAGAGCCAGAAGAATTCCTGGGGCTCACTACCCAGCTAGTCTAACTAGATCAGTGAGCTCTGTGTTTAGTAAGAGGCCCTTTCTCAAAAAAAAAAAAAAAAAAAAAAAAAGTAGAAAATACTAGAAGACACCCAATGTCAATCACATGGCCTACACATCCAACACCTAACTTAATATTTTCCCATTTTAATTGAGCTGTCTTTTTGTTATTGAGTTGCAGCAGCACTTAGATAGGTCTAGATGTCTTTCTATCATTCTGTGACTGTTTCTTCAGTTTCCTTGTGGAAATAAAACGTGCTTCAGTCTGAAGTGGGGGAGACAGTGGATCCCATGGGAGGAAGAAAAGAGTGGCAGCCTGTGGTCCCAGAGTGATCCTTAAGGTATGATCATAACAGGTACAATTCATTTCCTGGGCCTCTGGGCCCTGCCGCTTCCCTCCCACTCCCCTCCCACTCATACACACACACACAGATGCCCCCACCCTCCATTCAGGGAAGACTTGGTCTTACGTAACTGGAGAGAAAGGGTGGGAATAAAAGGCCAATTGTTAGTGGAGGAGCCTCTTAGGTAGCAATTTTCATACTTCCTGGGAAATCACCCTTTGCCCTCACCTTGGCCACTTCCAGGGTCATTGTCCATCCCCCCATCATGCCCACAATTCTCTTCACAGTAATTCACCCAGCTCATGTGGGTGAGCTCTTGAGGTGGGGCTGGCAAGAGAGGCGCTGGAGGGTGCTCAGTTCTGTTCCCAGACTGTGGCATTTCATTGAGAAGGAACAAATGGTGACTGTTCTGTGAAGCCACACAACAAGCTGCTTTCTCCTGCCTGTGACCTTTACTCAGGAAGAGGCCAAGCACACTCGTCAAGCCTCTTCATTTGCTGCAAAGAGTCTGTGGTAAACACCAAGAAGGCTCTCATTGTCATCAAGTTTCTAGAAGCCACCGGAACTTCTCACACAGGGCCCTTGCTTATTTAGTCAATGGCTGTGACACAATTTTACTGTGGAAATGGGTTACTTGAATAATTTATTTGGTTGGATTTGGGTTGGCCTGGATGACGGCCAGTATCTTGTCAATGTGGTGATTCCATGGCAAACATGTTGATTCACCCATAATTCACACCTTTTCCTATAGTGCTTGCTCACAGAGCCCTGGTTTTGTAGCTGTTCCAGAGGGTAACCCTTTAAGGGATTATATACGTCTGCCTTTCCAGGATTGGTCTGTTGTGGGCTGCTGAGTGCTTTTGAGGAAGGCAGAGCATACGGGCATGATGGCCTTTCTTATTCCCATTGGTCTTGGCGAGGTCCTGATGCCTGGACTGCTCTGGGTCATCTTCTGCCTGCACATGCGGACAGTAAGGACAGAGCTGAGAGGTGAATAAAAGGTGAAAAAAACTGAGCTCTAGAAACACCCACTTGGGGATTCCTTGTGGGATTTTCTCTGGGTTGCTGTCCAGTGCATCCTAGCTGATACACACACGTTTCCTCAGCGGGTTGGATATAAAACAAACTCCTCAGCCAATGTTGAACACACTGGTGTGGTTAGTGTTTCAGCAAGATGCTGCACTCCAAAGGACTTCTGAGGACTTTGTTGTTTCATGGTGAGGAACTGGAGATGGACGTGAATGATAAATATCCAGCTAAAGGACCAGAGAATCCCCCTTTGCTTCCAACTCAACAGCATCTTACCTCACAACTGCATCTTAGGTTTAATTATTTATTGTCCTTCCCTGAAGGATTTAGAACTGAGATCATGCTCTCCCTTCCTCTCTTCTCCTTCTCTCCCTCCCTCCTGCCCTCCTTCTGTGGAGGCCCAAATTACTCAGGGTCAGAGAATCTGAGCTTGCTTACCCAGCAGGGCTGCATAAGGGGATGATTTGACCACGGGTGTGGTTACCAGATGTTTGGAAGGGTCTACACTTGGCTGTGCCGTGTGCTTTGATCCTGCAAGAGGAAGGTCTTTTGCCCCATCCCTTGGCATTGTTATAAAAAGCCCTTTTGAATAAACAGAAGAGGCTATTGGGTATTGATCCAGGCCCTCCCAAAGCTATCCTGTGTTTCTGTCTTCTCATTGTCTAGGTCTCTCTTTCTACCTAATATTTCTTATCCCTCTCTCCTCCTCCTCCTCCTCCTCCTCCTCCTAAGAATGCTAGAAAAGCTGGGAAAGGTAGGAGCGGGTCTCCCATTGTCTCCTACGCCTTCCCTCCATCTCTTCCACCCATTAAAGTCTGTCGAACCTCCTCCATGTGACTGTTTCTCATTGTGTTGGTGATGGGCTCTCTGGGTCCCTCGGCTGGGTATCATGTGCACTGTGCTGACTGTAGCGGCACTATGGGCTGTGGGCACTTGGGTTCACAGCCTCCTCTACCTCCTCCATCCAAAGCTGGATTCCTCTGGAGACAGGGCCAAAAGAAGCCCCAGAATCTAAAAATGATGTATTCAGTGTCGAGTGTGCTGGCGCCACTGCTTTAAGTGTGGGGTAAAAGGACGTACTGCATTTGAGATCTAAGAGCAGCTACATCAAAACATGCAGAGTGGATGTAACCCGCTGGGAAGACAGCTTCTGGGAAGAAGACAATATATGCAGCCTCACCAATATTCACTCAACAACGAGGACGCCCAGAGAGGTCAAATCTTTTGTTTCATAAGTGTTAAAATTTATCAATCTGTACACAAGATTTACATCCTACTGGAACATTTTTTTATTTAACTTAAAAAGTAAAAAATAAAAAACGAAGAAATTGCCTAAGTAGTTTATTTCTATTTTATTTTATGCATATGTATGAGTGTTTTGCCTGCATATATGTACCACATATGGTCATAGTACCAGCAGAGGTCAGAAGAAGACATCAGATTGCCTGGAACTGGAGTTAGGGTGCTGGGAGCTAAATTCAGATCTTCTGCAAAAATGTTCTTAACCATTGTGGTGGTTTGAATGAGAATGGCCCCCACAGATTAATATGTTTGAATGGCTTGGTCCTTAGTTGGTGGAATTGTGGTGGTATTGTGTTCCCCCAAATATTGTGCACCCTAATAAATTTATCTGGGGTCAGCGACAGAACAGCCACTAGATACAAAGGCTAGAAAATGATGGCACTCACACCTTTAATCCTAGCATTCCAGAGGTAGAAATCCCTCTGGATCTCTGTGAGTTCAAGGCCACATTGGAAAAAGCCAGGCATGGTGACACACGCCTTTAATCCCAGGAAGTGTGCCTTTAATCCCAGGGAGTGATGGCAAAAGCAGAAAGATATATAAGGCCTGAGAACCAGAAACTAGAAGCATTTGTCCTTGTTAAGCATTTGGCCTGGTTATACATTCAGGCTTTTGAGCAGCAGTTCAGCTGAGACCCATTCGGATGAGGACTCAGAGGCCTCCAGTCTGAAGAAACAAGACCAGCTGAGGAACTGGCAAGGTGAGCTAGCTGTGGCTTGTTCTGCTTCTCTGATCATCCAGCATTCACCCCAATAACTGGTCTCAGGTTTGATTTTATTAATAAGAACTTTTAAGATTCCTGCTACATGGAATTGTTTGGGAAGGATTAGGAGGTGTGGTCTTATTGGAGGAGGTGTGTCACTAGGGGTGGGCTTTGAGATTTCAAAAGCCCATGTCAGCTGAGCAGTGGTGGTGCATGTTAATCCCAGCACTCAGGAGGTAGAGGCAGGCAGATCTCTGAGTTCAAGGCCAGCCTGGTCTACAGAGAGCCTTCCAGGACAGCCAGGGCTACACAGAGAAACTGTGTCTTGAAACCCCTCCCCCTGCAAAAAAAAAAAAATCCTATGTCATTCTTAGTTAGCTCTTTCTGCTTTGTGGTTGTTATCTCAACATGTAAGTTCTCAGCTACTGCTCCAGTGCCATGCTCCCTGATATGATGGTCATAGACTCACCCTCTAAAACTAAGCAAGGCCCCAAATAAACTCTCTTCTTTAAGTTGCCTTGCTCATAGTGTATCTTCACAGCAATAGAAAAGTGATTAAGAACCATTGAGCCATCTCTCCATCCCTACCCCCTTTTGAGTCAGGGTCTCACTATATACTCCTGGTTGGTCTGGAACTTGCCATGTAGAACAGGCTGGCCTTGAAGCCACAGAGATCCATCTGCCTCTGCCTCATGACTATTAAAGTATTAAAGGTGTGTGCTCCCATGTCTGGCTATAAATAAATCTTTTTTTTTTAAAAATGAACAGGAATCTTAAAGGTAGTAACATCAAAACATCAATCTTGTCTTTCCTACCCAAGGAGGACCAGAAATGCAATTCTAATCAGCAAAGGAAAAATTCACGGGTCCACTGAAAACTCCAGTTATAACATAAACTCCAGGTAGGGCTTGATTTGGTGTTCAGACAGTGATACTGGGCCTCAGTTTCCAGGCACGTTGAGGCTCTGCTGTGTTGTTCATGTCTCAGGACTTGTATTAGTCAGGGTCCTCTGAGGAGTGGTTCTGAACATGTGGACCATGACCTCTTTAGGGGGTCACACAACCCTTTCACAGCGGTCACACATCAGATATCCACATGACGATTTCTAACAGTAGCAAAATTACAGGTTTGAGGTAGCAACGAAAATAATTTGATGGTTGGGGGTTCACAGCAACGTTGAGGAACTGTATTAAAGGGTCACAGCATTAGGAGGGTTGAGAACCACTGCTCTAGAGGATCAGAAACAATAGGATATATGTAGCCCAGAAGTCCTAATCTGGTGCTCAAAACCTGGAAGCTTCTGGAAGAGCCTCTGGTCCTTAGTTAACAAAGAAAGCCTGGAAACACTGGTTCTGATATCAGTGAAGAAAATCAGCAGCAGCAGCAACAGGGGAAACCGACTCATTAACAAGCGGGAAGGCCAAGGAAGCTAGAACAATCTTCCTTCTGCCACACCTTTTTTTATCTGGGGTGCTACCAGAAGGTGCTGCCCACATTTGGGGTGAGTCTTCTCCAATCAATTAAGGCAACCAGGACAATTCCTCAGGTAGAGCTCCCTACTCAAGTGATTCTAATTTGTGGCAAATTGACATTAAAACCAGCTGTCACAAACCCCAATGTGGCCACTCAGTTCTGGGTTTTCCTTTGTGTTGGAAAGATAGAGGGTGTTTCTCCAGATCCATACACCCTCAGCAACAAGTTCACTGGGAAGAGAAATGTGCCCTTTCTCTTACCAGAGTCCTAGAAAAGTCATTGTCTCATTGGTTCCAAGTGGATCACATACACATCGATGGACCCAATCCCTGTGACCATGGAAGTACAATGCATAGCCTAGGTCACATGATTTCCCTTAGAGTTCTTTCCAGGCAAAAGACAACTTCCTTTCCTTCCCAAGAAGTCTGCTGGAGCCACTGTACCTCCATTCACCCCTCTAGTATCATAGTGTCATCACCATCTTTTGCCCAATGCCCGTGAGTTGCAGTTACCTGGCTGCCCAGTCACCCAGATGCCTGTGGGAGATAAGCCACAGGCCGATTGGTTCCTGTAGTTAGTGTTCTCACCTGGCCTCTGAGGTTGGCAGCATCTTCGTCCAGGACAGCATGAGGTGAGTCCTGTCCTGTGATGGTTTGGTGGTGTTTAGGTGTCCCACAGTTCCCTTCCCTTCCCCCTTGACTAGAACGGCTATTGATGGCCACTCAAGAAGGCCAGCAGGTCATTCCATTATACACAGCTGTTGTCCACGGCTAGCTCTGACACTCTTAAGTGGCTCAGATGCAGATGGTCCACAGGCACCTTCTCTTGGTGTCTGTACCACTCCATGTCACATCATGGCATCCATTCTTACTCAGTAGGGTCTCTGTATGCACACTCAAGCCATTTAGATGTGTGTGTCCAAGGGCGCCTCTGTGTGTGTGTGTGTGTGTGTGTGTGTGTGTGTGTGTGTGTGTGTGTGGTATTGGGGAAAGTAGTGCCTTCCTTAAGTTCCTGGCTAAAAGCACATATAACTACTTCCTGGACCAGGTTAAACTTGATGATGTACAAGCCAGTTGCCTTGAGTATTAAATCAATGTTGATAGCTTAGGTTGGGGGTATCAAAGGTGGGCCCCACTGAGAAAATCTGCCAGCAGCATGCACACACTTTGCACTGATTCCCTTCAAAGAGCTGAGCAGGGAGCAAGGCAGAGAGATGCATGGACCGCGGGTGAGAGGAGCTGCTGCGGATTCCAGCTGGTGCACCAGTGACCTCTGCTGGTGGGATTTCCCTCTCCCGGTGCACAAGAGGTAAGTGTCCCCTCCAAGAAGGTGGTTCTGTTGTCTTCTGAGATCCCGGAAGACAACAGAGAGCAGAGCTCCTGGGCTTCCCTGCTCACGCTTTCATTGGGGGCCTCAGCTGCCAGAAGTTCAAGTGAGGCTCTTGTCTTTGCCGCTACAGAATTCCTCTCAAAGCTTGCTCACTTTCAGATACAATTACAGTTTATTTAAAAATTCTCAGAAAGGGTGCTGGAGAGATGCTCAGTAGTTAATGTGTGCTGTTCTTGCACAGAGACTGACTTTGCTTCCCACATCAGCCTCTGACAACCAATTGTAACTCCAGCTCCAGAGGGACCCAACGCCTTTGACTGCTGCAGGCATCTGCACACACACGCACACCCTTACACACAGACACACAAAATTAAAAATGAATCTTAAAACGAAAATTCTCAAAAAGGGAGCTGGTCAGATGGATCAGCCCGAATAATGGAATTCACTTTCTGAGATCCAAATGTTCGAAGGAGAGAAACGATTCCCGAAAGCTGTCCTCTGATCTCCACATGTGTGAGTGGCGTATGTCCCTGTGCGCGCGCGCGCACACACACACACACACACACACACACACACACACACACACTAAACAAATGTAAAAAAACAAAAACAAACAAACCAAAAAAAAAAAAAAAACCCAAACTAAAAAACATCATGTCCAAAAACAAGTGCCTCTACCCAAAGAAGTCTGAATTTTTTCTTTTTTTCTTTTTTTAAGACAGGGTCTCTATGTGACCCTGGCTGTCTTGGATCAAGTTGTCCTAGAACTCACAGAGATCCACCTGCTCTGCCTCCCGAGGCTGGGATTAAAGGCGTGCACCACCACTCCGGCCCTAACTTTCTTTCAAAACAAAACAAAACACAACAAAACAAAACACCCCAGCATGTTTACAACACATCAAAGTGAAACGAATACTGAATAAGGTTACTCTTCGGTCCGCCTTGGACGGCTAAATGCCGAGAAACCATTTATAGTTACACAAATTCACACCTCCTATCGCTCCACCTCACCTAACTCACAAATCAACGCAAAATGCTGCCGTCGTTCACGCATTAGCCCGCATCTAAGTCAAGCAGACGAACTGTCCAGGCACGTCTGTCCTGGGGGACTCCAGCCCCGGAAGCTGGGCAGCCAAGTTGAAGCCATTGTGGCAGATCTTCTAGGATCCTGCAGGATTTTTTGTTGTTTTTTTAAACAGCGTTTTCATAAACCTCTTGTCTTTGTAGGGCCACCAGGTGGCACTTGAGAGCCTTTTCCAGCGTGAGGTTCGCCCGTGGGTGGAGTCTCTGCAGCCATCTTTCACTGTTGGGCTCTGACTCTAGTCAGAGCTCATTGGACCAGAGGCTAACTCCTGACCGTGCAGTAACCTATCCTCACACCGGGGCATGGCAGTCAGAAACATTCCCTTGCTGGGGAACCACGAGACCGCATCTTCCACCCACAGCTTGAGAGAGCAGAAGCGGCTCATCACAGAGAGAACATAGAAGGATGACCGGAGATGTTTTTGCTTCTAGTTCAGTTTTTGCCCTGCCTCCTTGGGTTCAATCGTATACTATTCTTCCCTTCCACCACGGCATTTGTTTAAGCAAGAAAGTTCCTGAAGACACGGGCTTTTGTTTAACTGGCATTTAAGATATAGAGCAGAATTCTGAAAAGCTTTGAGAACTCAGGATTTGAATTCATGCAAACCACCAAGAAAGCTCATAATGGAATGGGGTTTTGTCTAGCAGGACTTCGTTTAAATGAGAAACAGAAAACCTTTCTCCCAGTTTGTTTCTATATTTGCTATAAAAATCTATCTAAAATGCATAAACAAAAGCAAAAGATTGAAAACAAATGCTCACCATTAGGAAACTAGTTACATATTCATCATACAATTACACATTAGGCAGCTATTGAAAGAACAAGATGGATGGAATGTTCCCACATTCTATTTTAAAGAAACAATACCGAGTGATGTGTGCAGTGTTACAGTCTGAAAAAGGATAATATGCAAGTTCACTCACACACACACACACACACACACACACACACACACACACACACACAGAGAGAGAGAGAGAGAGAGAGAGAGAGAGAGAGAGAGAGAGAGAGAGAGAGAGAGAGAGAGAGATTCATTGGCATCTATGGAATGATTGTACCATGTGAAAAACATGTTCCCATGTACATGTATTAGCTCTTTAAATACACAGCGGACACACATGTATACACAACTGCACTAGCCCGCTTTTCAGCTTTATTGAGTTTATTCTTAATATACTTTTGAGTAGACATTTCTCTTACCCTTAAGAGCTCCTGGAAATTGGGTGGGTCTTCATAACTGTCTACACTGTTTCCATCGTCCATCCTGCTGTGCTTCCTCTTATCTGTGAATTGCTAGTGCAATCCGGTGGAAGAGGGGGGATGTGAAAGTTCACTGTTGTCTTTTCCACGCAAAGTGAAATTCGGAAGGGTGCAGTTTGTGGACTGGGGAGTTGATATCTGGAGTTGAGGAATCGCTCAGTAAGTGAACATGGCTTCCCATCTGAATTCTAAGTGCACTCTCAACACCTAGAACAGTGGAGTCGTTGGCTTGGGCCTGCAGGCTGCATCCGGTAATTAGTGAAAGCAATACCCTTTCCCCCAGATTCTCTTAAATAAAGATTAGAGCGTCTGGCGCAGAGCCTGGATTAGTTGGCTGATGTTGAATGTTTGGTGCCATTCTGGCCAGCTCCTCTCCAACATGTCCTAAAAGGACGTTATACCACTTCAATTAGAAGAGACTGAGGGTCAGCTATGATGCTGGCGGTGCTGTGTTGGAATTCAGTTTCCAAGGAGATGGTTAGAGGTATCTCTTTGAATATTATTGTTGTTGTTGTTGGCAGGATCTCACTCTGCAGCCTCTGACTCTTTTGTTGTTGTTATAGGTCTGTTTTTGTGTATGTGTGCGAGATATAATATAATTACATCATTTCTCCCTTCTCTTTCCTCCCTCCAACCCTTCCTCTATACCCCTCCTTGCTCTCTTTCAAATTCATGGCCTTTTTTTTTTTCATTGATTGCTGTTGTATGCATCCCTAACTATAACCCACTGAGTCTGTATAATGTTACTTGTGTGTATGTTTCCAGGGCTGACCCCTTGGTATTGGTTGAGCGTTGGCATGCTCTTCCCTGGGGAAGACTATTTCTCCCACTCCCAGCATCCCTTGCTTGTTTGCAGTGCTTTGTGCAGGGCTGAGCCTGGTGGGCTTTTCCCCATCAGCTTTGGCACGACTGTCCATGTTGTCCTTGTCCGGCTCCTGTTTAGGCAGTCACGTTGGTGAGACTTTGTGGGCGTAGCTTCTGACAGTACTAGGAGACACAGTCTCATAGCAAACTCCCTGATCCTCTGGCCTCTGGTTCTCAGTCTTCCTGCTTCAGTATGCTGAGGGCTAGGATGACAGGTGTGTGATGCCACATTATGCTGGAGTAAAAAAAAAAGATTTTTTTTTTTCAAATTTTTGAAACAGGGTCTCACTATGTATTTCTGGCTGACCTAGAACTCACTTTGGAGATCAGGCTGACCTTGTACTCAAAGAGATCCATCTGCCTCTGCCTCCTAAGTGCTTGTATTAAAGGCATGCGCTACCACATACAGCTCTATTATTATCATTTTAGTTTGTTATTTGTGTGTATGGTACGGTGATGGTGGTGATGGGGCATTTCCTTTCTGTTGCTGTGATAGAATACATAACCCAAAGCAACTTAGGGAAGGAAAGTTTTGTTTTAGCTTACATGTTACAGTCCATCATTGAGGGAAGTCTGGGCAGGAATCCCAAAGAGGAAAGTGGATACAGGAACTATGGAAGAATGCTTCCTACTGGCTTGCTTTCTCACTCAGGCTCATCTAGCTTTCTTACACAGCCCAGAGTCATCTGCCTAGGGATGGTGCCTCCAGAAATGTGTCAGGCCCTCCTGCGTCAATCATCAATCAAGATGAGCCCCAAAGACATGCCCATAACTGTAGCTAGAGTTTTCCTGCCTTTTTTCTCAAAAAGGAAGGTTTTAACCTTAACAAAGTAAAATTACATATAATTTGGGAATTTGGGCGTAGCTTCTCTTACTACTTCCTGCTGGAGGGGGACGCTGTATCTTATGGGGATACAAAGAAAATTTTAGGATTATGGAATAGTCCGTGAGGCTGTATCGTCTGAGCCAGTTGCCTTGAAACCATTCTGGATGTTGGATCATCTGGGCCATGGTGTCATTGGAGACCTTTCAGGGGGTCTTGGCTGGTCAAACCTGATGTATCTTAATCTGGAACAAATCCATAGCCTTTGGCTTTCTGTGGGAACAAAAGCAGAGTCTCCTTTCCAAAGCAACATATCCTTATATCTAAATTTTGAAGTTAAGGTATCTTTAAAGTATACATATTGGTTTAACTCAGCTTCCTTTGCAATCAAATCTCTCTCTGCAGTTAAGAATCCCAAAGACAACACAATCCAGATTCTCTGTGTAATATTCATCTTTATGTGGCTTATTTTTTATATTAATTTTACTGTCTCTTTAAAGACTTTATTTTTTAAAACTATGTATTTGTTTATATAACTATATATCACCTTTTTTGTCTCTTTCAAGCCTATGTATATTTTACACACATTTAAACTATTACAACTGAATCTGTCTTATTGTGAATCTATTGCTTTAAACTGCAGCAGCTGTGGCTGCTGGCTCCACCCACCTCAGCTTCCCAACATGGTACTTTACCGCCGGCTCTGGGAGCTATCGTGGGTCTATGCTTTTATCCAAGCAGCATGTAGCCCAGAAACTTCTTTTTTTGTTTTGTACTAGCAAAGGCTAAATCCACCGCACAGCTTAATGTGCCACTTGCAGAGGCCTCATTCCCACCATACTTCAGGTCCAGCGCGCACGCTAGGAACCCGCCAGTAGCTCAAACCAGCAGCTGCCGCTCATTTGAGAGAGACAATTAGGAAGCTGTTTTTAGCTCCGTTTTAGAATCTTTTTTCCTCAGTTTTTAGGTGGAAACTCTTGTCACCACGTTGGACGCCATTTGTCGCTTGAGTTTTCCTGCCTGGCCCACAGTCAGGGCAAATCTCTCACCTGCCAGTCCCACAGCTGCTCAGACCCAACCAAGTAAACACAGAGACTTATATTGGTTACAAACTGTATGGCCGCGGCAGGCTTCTTGCTAACAGTTCTTATATCTTAAATTAATCCATTTCCATTAATCTATACCTTGCCACATGGCTCGTGGCTTACCGGCATCTTCACATGCTGTTTCTCATCATGGCGGCTGGCAGTGTCTCTCTGATTCAGCCCTCCACTTCCCAGCTTTATTCTCCTCCTTGTCCCGCCTACACTTCCTGCCTAGCCAATGGCCAATCAGTGTTTTATTTACTGACCAATCAGAGCAACACATTTGCCATACAGAACATCCCACAGCACATAACCCAATCTGACGTAGACAATTCTTCTATGATCTCTCTCTCCATGTGACTTTAGGTTGTGTTGACAGTAAAAACTCAGCAGCACAGTGCATGTGCATGTCCTAGCATAGACGTGGGAGGCAGAGGGCAACCATAGGAGTCAGCTCTCTCCTTCCAGTGTGGATTCTGGAGATGG